CTGCAGTGCAGACTTGGGTACACATGCTGTTAAGCATTTAACTTTTTTTAATTTTTAAAAAATTTTTATTGAGTTAAATGCACATAGCATAAAATTAACAATTTTAAAGTGCATGGTTCAGCATTTAGTGCATTCAGCGTTGCACAACCACCTCTCTAGTTCCAGCGCATTTTCACCACCCCATGTTGTGCATTTTTACGTGGACGCAAGAATGGAGTAATGGATTTACTCTGGACAAAAAGGCACATTAAAAGCTTTTCATGGTTATGTCCAGCCGCCCTCCAGAAAAGCTATTCTAATTTATATTCCCACTAGAGTATGAAAGTGTGCATTTTCCTATACCCTTATTGGCATTTTGTATATTATCAGCCTTTATTTTTCTTCCACTCCAATAAATAAGAATATGTATTCTTTTACTATTAAGATGTTTTAGCCATTTGTATCTGTTGGATTTCCAGTTTCTGTCATCTGCCTAATTTGATAGGGTTTTGGTAGTGGATTTTTTTCCCCTTACATCTCTTAATAGGGTTAAGTTTACTTAGGAAACTTTTCTATGAAATTCAGTGTCTACTGCTGTGAGTGGGATAATCTTCCTGATACATTTTCTAACTGGTTATGGTTGGTGTGAGGGAGCACCTCCACCTTAGATACATTGATCTTGTATCCAACACGGGTTGGGGGGCAGTTCTTGAAAATAATTTGCACATTCTGGGTGGCTCTTTGTTACAGTGTGTCTGAGGTCTTCTGAGGGTGTTAGTGACCTTGCAAAAATAAGCTAAGTGTTCCTACTAAATACCTTTTTGGACAGTGCTGTGTACATTCCTATTCCTGGGGAAATGGACTTACACACAAGTCCTTCTCTCCTGAGTGTACTCACTGAAAGAAAAATAGATATGGAAATAATAGGATAGAAAAGAAATGTGTTTATCTTTGCATCGCCAGCACCTGGCACTTAGTGGGCACTGAACGTCTAAAATAAGTTACTATGGTGCCATAAGAATAGGATTTCCATTTTACTTTTTTTTTTTTAAGCTGAAAAACCCATTAGCCAGAAAGGTCCTCATTGCTGGCTGCATATTAGAATCACCAGAAGAATGTTTAAAATATTTATGCTCAAATTCGTCTGACTGAGAATTGGTTTCAGTCTATCTAAGGTGGGACCAAAGCATCAGCATTTTTAAAAGTCTTATTAGGTAACTCCACTGAGAAGCCAGGGTTGAGAACCACTGCTAGTCCGGCATATAAACTCTACAAGTGGAGTTCAAGATGAACTCTTGGCCCCTAAGTGGGGCTTTGCTGGACCCAGTTGGAAAGCCACATCCCTGGGGTCCTGAGAATCCTGTGAGGATGTTAAGGGTGGTGTGCCCACTTGCCGTGGCAGCTTTGTTCTGGGCCTGTGCTACCGCCTCACACGCCAGGATGGGAAATAGGCAGACATCTTGGTTCACCAGACTGAGGCAGATGTGGCTGGGCCTGGGAATAGCTATGGGAAGGTATTTGGCATTAGGTGTTGGAGCTCAGTGATGGCATGCATCTAGTTTGGCCAAAAAGCAGATCGCTTCTTTACTCCTTGTCTCCTTTGGGAAGGACTTACTGACATAACCACAGCCCTCCAAAGGGCATGCTGAGTGAGGATGATTATGCCAAGATTCAGAGGCCTTTTTGTTCAAAATGGTCATCTCTTGCTTTTAATTAGTACTTATATCTAATTTGAACTTATATGAGGATAGCAGGTACACAAGAGGCCGATTATACCCATCTTACTGATGATGAAGATGAGGTCCAGAGAAATTGTGACTTGCCTAAAACCACACAAGGAAGCACGAGCCTGGCTTTGGACCCTGATGTTCTGACTTCAGAGGCTGTCATCCATCAGGAAGCAGGCTGCCAGCTCCCTCTTTATGTGGCGCCATCTCTTCTGCCGGGAAGGCTGTCCGTCCACGCAGTTGTTTCATGGCAGCTGAGGTTCTGACCTGCCTGGTGCATGGAGAATGGAGAAAGCTGCAGAGCCATGACTCTGACTTAGATTCATTTGTGGGTTTTTTCCCTGGTATAAATTGTGACCCATGAGTTGCTTTCAGCTCCATTCTCTGGCTGCCTGAACGACTAGAGCACAGGCTCTGTTATCTGACACTCCTTACCCATCGCCCTCTGGGGCCGTAGACACTGCAGCACCTGTCAGAAATGATGATAAATATCTAGGCCAAAGGTTTTTTTAAAAATCTCTGTAGTCGAATGGAATGCTCAGTCAAGATGACAAGGTATTTTCAAGGAACAAATAAAGCACGATACCTAACTTTCTCTTTTTCTTCCCTCTTGGCTGCCCATACGTGAGTGACGCCGGTGGTCAGTCTCCTTGGCTGTCCTGCCTCTTCTGGGCCCTTGCTCAGGCTTTGTCCCTGCCGCTGACCCCTCCTCCATGTCCTTCTCAGCCTCGGGAGGACCCGTCTGCCCTCAAGGCCTGGCTCAGTTCAGAAGTCGCTCCTTTCCTCCTTCCTTTCCAGTCCTCCCACTTCTGTCTCTTAGCCTGTAAGTTACCAAGTCCTGTCGATCTGCTTTCCCTGGCCTTCCTGAATTGCTCTTCAGCCCCTTTGCCACTTCCCAGACGAGCCACCATCACTTCCATGTTGGACAGTCTGCACCTAGCATCTGGGGCCTACTCTCACCTGCTTGCTTTCTACCTTATATCAGAGGAGTTACAGCATCTGTGCACCCCTTCTGGAGTGAGTGAGCTCTTTGCACCCCTGAACACCCCTCCACTCCCAATTATTAAATACAGGGCCAGTCACAGAAGTCATCAGGAGGCCTTGATCAAATTCCTTCCGAGGCACCTGGCAGGTCCCACGCCTGGCAGTCGCAGGCAGGCATTTCCATAGGGCTTTATTCACTGACCTCTCTCCTTCAGGGGAGTAGAAGACCAAGATTGCGCACAAGATTATGTTTTCCTTTCCAAACATCCCTATTTATGAACGTCAGATGTGTCAGGGTGTTTGTTCAGTTCCCTTGTAGAATGTGCTTTATAAGGGACAATGACATTTCCAGGAAGATTTAAGCCTTAGTCTGATTTTTTCCAAATGCCCAAAGCCTTTCTCTCATCCCATCTGCCACATTGAAGCAGAGGTGGGTGGTATCCAGCAGAGGGCTAGCTGGAGCCCTGCTTCCGGGAGGCCTGCCCTGCACGGGGGCTGCCTCATGCCTTTCCACCCTGCCTGGCCCCAGCATGAGTAACACTTGGGTAGAAAACAACCGTTTCGTTGCTTGATGGACTTTTGTGGTGCCCACACACAAGACAGGTGAGAGGCTGCACCCCAAAGGTACTACCCCTCCCAAGAGAACAGAGCCCATCCCCTCCACCACCAGGTGCCAAGTGTACTTAGTCACCCCTACTTTCTTGCTCACGTGATAAAGATGAGGCACAGAGCTGGAAATCTGCATAGCCATGGGGGGCAGCCCCCTTTTCTCAGTGCCCTCCTTACCCTCTGCCTAGGGAGGAGCTTGGTCAGATGCCTCATTTTTGCCACCGTAGCACCTGACATTTGCCCGGGCATATGGGCCTTCATGGATGCTGCCTGTCGCCAGGGATGTTGATGCCGACTGGGGTACCCAGTGGTGACAGGCAGGGCATTGTGCAGGAGGTCAGATTAGATTCTCCCAGAGTATCTTCTAGTTCTAAATCCTGGGGGATTCCAGTGCTGACCCTCACTCCCTTCTCCATCACACACATGAGCCCTCTCCGGCCCATTGTGGGCTACCAGAGGCAGGCAGGAGCAGAAAGGAGCCCTCTTTTTTCTCTGGGAACAGCCTTCCTGTTTCCTTGGCTTCTCTTGGGTCACCTATTCCCAGAAGTCTCGTGACTGCTCTGAACCTCAGGACATTTCCTGTACTGTCATTAAATTTCTGGGCTGTTTGGTCCCTTGACTGGGTCGTGAGCTCCTTGAGTAAAGCAATACTGAGGTTTACTCCTCTTGCTCGTATGGGGTGGGCCATACAAGTTTATGAATAAGTGAAGTAACGGTCCTAGAGAAAGCTGTCTTCAGGGAATAGTGACCCTCCTCGGCAGTATCTCTCAAGGTGTGCCCAGTGCAGAAGAACGCTGTGTCCCCCGCCACCCCCTTTGGTCGCGCCTGTTGTGCTGGCAGTGTTGGGGCCCCCACAGTTGAGTGGAGGAGTGCCAGGAATGAGGAGCCATCGGTTCCCATGGGCTCTCTCCCCAACACCCACTCCCAACATCTTTGGCAATGTGGCACCTACTGTAGCCAGAGCAGGGCTTTGGCAGGCCTTGGCCAGCAGTGGAAGTTGTGTTTCTGGGGGCCTGGGAGCCCGGCAACCTCAGGGCCCAGGGCCAGCCTGCGTGGGCTCTGGAGCCCCTACCTGGGTGGGACATGCCATGTTTGATGGAGCGGCACAGGCAGCTGTGCCTTCCCTGAGCCTCAGCTGGGTCTGGGAGATAGGGTCGCTTGCACCCACAAGGCTCCAAGCCTGTCGACTCCGCACTCTGGTCCCTTCACCTCCAGTGGACCCATCACCTATTTCCTCCCCAGATTGAGCTTGGCTCATCCCCAGAATGTTCCAGGCATTCCCACCTCCACCCTGTGCTCACACGTTTACCCCACCCTGATGCTCTTTTCTCTGTGCCCTGTCTGCTACTGCCCTTCTGAGACTCCTTTCCAGTCCCTCTGCCCCCAGAAAGTATGGTCCCCCCATCCCAGGTCTCTTGAGCACATGCTCATCGCCATCCCCCATCCCGACCCCTACAGCCTTCTCCCATTGGCCTGTGTGTGAATGTGTCTGCCTGGCAGCGTGGGAGTTCCCAGACTGGGGCCAGGGCTCTTCTCCCTCCCCAGCAGACCTTGCGACAGGACTGGCCCGGGCCTTAGTGATAACACTGGAAGTAAGTGAGCTCTGCTCCCCCGGACTTCTCCATTCACTCCTTTCCCTCATCTTGGACGATGTACTTGGACACAGGGGCAGGAGAAAGAGTGAAAGGGACCCCCACAGACTAATGAGAAAAAATGCACTCCTTTATTCCCTGTGGGAGAGACTGTTCAGGGAGCCTCCAGCATACGTCCTGGGGTGTAGGCTTGGTCTTAGGGCCCCAGCAAGGCTGGGGCAGCAGTCAGGACTCTGCTGGCCCCAGGGCAGGGCAGGTCCAGGTGGGGGCCGCTGCCCCTTCCTCAGAGCTTCTCCAGGTAGGAACCAGGGACGAAGCCACGCTGCCCATTCCGTTCCACTGTCCACCAACCATCCTCCCCTTCCAGGATGACTTCCAGGATGTCTCCCGCAGAGATATTCAACTCGTCGGAATTCTGGGCAAGAGAATGAAAGTGCATTGGGCTGGAGGGGCCCTTTCAGGGGGGCTCTGGTGGGCACCCCCACCCCAGCAGTAAATGGGAACTTGTCTCCCCGGTGGGCCAGGTCTTCAGAGCCGCACCTGGCCTCCTGGAGCCACAAGACGAGGCTGCTCTGGCTGGGGCAGCCTCCGGAGACATGTAGGGTGTGGGGTGTCTTGTGGGACTCGGCCTCCTGCCCTCCTTGGTTTGTTATTTTTAGGCCTTCCTCACCCTGAGGCTTCTTCCCCCACTTTCCCCCCTGCTGCCCACTCTCCCAGCTCTGCTTACACAGGTGTGTTGGCCACGCTCCGAGCCTTCTCAGGCGCACCGCACACAGCCTCCCCACTGCTGCCGAGCCAGCCCCTGTCACGCAAGCACACTCCCATTCTCCTGGCCTGTCCCCCCTCTGACCGAGAACCAGGCTTTGGGAGTCTGCACAACCCAGGGCACAGCCTGCCTGCCCCGAGGGGATTCTTGGCTTCCCTCTGTGTGGACTGAGGGGGGCTCTACCACATCCACCAAAGCAGGGAGCAGATTGGACTCTCAAGGATCTCAGAGCACCCGTCCTATGGCCTCTTGACCCATCCTTTCCCCATGGACCTCAGAAGACCAACCCGAGGTCTCGTTCTTGGCGCCTGTGGCCCCAGTCTGAGGGCACAGGGTCTGACCCTTGGTCCATCTCCTGCAGGTTGCCCCAGGTGCTGTCAGCGTGCCTGCACATGCACACCCAGGCACACAGTGTCCGTGAATGCCTGGACACCACGCGTGTGTGAGAACAGTTTCGGGCACAGGCCCTCGTACCCGTCCCACATTTGCTTGGCAGATACGCAGCCACTGCCAAGTGCTGGGTGCTATTCTAGGGGCACACGCCCCAGCTCACTCCACACTCTGGCCTGCCTGTGCCTGCCTGAGGAGAGGGGGTGAGGGCCTCACCTGGGCCGTGTAGTCGTAGAGCACCCTGTAGCCCTGTGCTGGCACGCTTGGGGGGCCCGGCGCCTCCTGCACCGTGATGGCAGAGTAGACAACCTCACTCCGTTCAGGGGTTGGGGTCAGGGTCTCTGTGGAGGCGGAGAGCAAGGTGAGGCTTGGAGCCTACCCCTTTCAAAGGCAGTGATCCCGGAGGCCCCCCTGGCACGGAGCTTCTCCTGACTTGGCTCAGCCTCCCCCCAAAAGCAGTTAGAGAACCCGTCTGTGCCACAAAGGAGTCCTCTCCTTTCCCCTGGGCTCAGTTGCTTGGGGGCCCCCACATCACTCCCAGTAACCTGCAGAGGCTGCCAATGATGCGGTCTTGGGACTTCCGTGTAGCAGCCCGGAGAACCTGGGGGCAAGAAGCAAAGCAGGTAGGGAGGGAGAGGGATTCAGCAAAGCCCCAGGGCTTGGGGCCATCTGGCCTCTAGGCACAGAGTGACATGAGTGCCCGTCAGGCCTGAGGGTGGTCCTTCCCCTGCCTCACCCTCCTAAGCCTCCTCAGCCTGCTTTTTGCAGGCTCTCTTCACTGCATTCCCAAGGCCCTGAGCCCCCAGACTTCTCCATCCGCCTTCTAACCCCCACAGGTGAAGGGGCTGCCCTCCAGAGTTCAGCCCGCTTGGGCCTTGCTGGGACCTTCACCTGCCTGGGCCCAGTCAGACCTCCTCCCTGCGCTCCACCATGACCTGGCCAGCCCAGCCACTCCCTGACCATGGGAAGTAGGGACTCCAATGTCCATGTGAGCACTAGGAAGCAGTGCCAGGCTAATTCACCCCTTCCCTTGTGCCTGGCTCATGCCTGGACTGAGCGGCAGCCATGAGGGTTTGCTGCATAAAAAGACCAGAGCCAGCAAGAGGCAGACCCTGGGGGCATTGGGGAGACAGACATGGGTACCCACAAAGCAGGCAGTGCTGAGGGCTGTGTAAGTAGAGGCTGATGCTATTCCTAGCCTCTGGAAAGGCTTCCAGGTGGGGTTGAGTCCTGAAAGACAGCTTTATTTAAGTTTATTCATTTATTTTGAGAGAGAGAGAAAGAGCAAGTGGGGGAGGGGAGAGGAGAGAATCCCAGGCATGACCTGAGCTGACGTCAGATGCTTAACTGAGCCACCTAGGTGCCCCCTGAAAGAAAGCTTTAACAGACAGAGATGGTGCAAGGCATAGCCTGTGAGTGGCTGTGAGGTGCAAGGGGGCTGCCCAGGATACATGCGCAGGATAGAAACACATGGACATGGGTGTGTGGACCCGGACTGATGATGATACGGGCTGTGCAGGTTCAGCACCAATGACAGAGTCCTGCCCTTACCCAGAGTCAGGGTAAAAGTCGGCAGGGTTGTGGCTGGGAGGAGCAGAGCTCGTGGAGGCTGCTGCCCGTTTCCCCAGCTTTGTCTATACCTGTGACACTTTACTCACTTCCCGGCCACTGGCCCACCCCTCCTCAGCTGTACGTGGCTTCTAGCTCTCCCCTGCTTTGGCTCCTGCCCATCCCCTCCAGTAGCCAGGCCTCCTCCACCTGGTGGGACCGCTCTCTCATCAAGGCACCCGTGTCAGTCCTTTCTTGACGCTGTCCCAGGTGAGCTTTTCCATCAGGTGTTTAAATGACCATCTGTGCTGAGACCCAGGTCCTTCCTAGGGTTGCAAGGAGGCCTGAGTCCCCCAAGACTACACTAAGACTGAGGGTGTGACTGCCCTCCCTTGGGGCCTTTGCTTTCTCACGGTTCCTGGAGGGGCATGCTGTGCCCCTGGGTCACTCCCTGTCTCCAGAGGTGTCCCACAGGGGAGGCTTCAGGAGTTCCCGAAGCCTCAGAGATAAGCTGTCCTCAGGGAGCTGAGAGGTCCATCAACCCCATCCTCATCCTTACCTACCTCCTGAAGGCAGGGCCTTCTCTGCACGAGGCTGGATGGAGAGAGGGCATCACAGGGGCCTCAGGGTGGGAGTGGGGCACAGGCACCACATGAAACCCACAGATGCAGACTCCTCCCACACACACACAGGGCACGTGGCCCCTTCAGGAACTTGGGTGCTCTCAATGAGCTGTCACCATTGTCACCTAAGGCCTGAACCAAGAGGGTCTTTGGATTCTGAGTCTGACCCCAATGACTTCTGGGCTCTGGACCTGGAGAAGGTGACTTGTGCAGGTGACACAGTGATGCATGGCACTAGGATCCTCTGCGGCCAGGCCAGGGAAGGGGCCCTGAAAGGCCTGGGGAATTCTCCCAGAGCACTGTCTATAAGGTCTGCTCTTGTGTCCTGATCCTGCATGAGCAGGAGTGTCACTACCACAGCATGACAGTCAAGGGTACCAACCCAGGCTAGCAGCAGGGCCCAAGGGACAAGGAAGCCAGCCTGGGGCCTCCCTGGAGCTCTGAGCGCAGTCACCGGCAAGTAAATGGGGTGTGATTATTTGCTTAATGTCTGGGTCCCTTTGGACTGAAAGTGTCATGAGTCCAAAATGAGGCTGTCCTGTCCCCAAAGAATGCCCAACACCTAAACCCAGCACTAGGCCCGCAGTAGGTGCTCAGTAAATACACGTGGGAGAAACACTTGGAGGAGGAGGGGCCGGACCCACTTCCTGGCACTTCCTCAGCCCCATCTGGCACCTCACCTCTTTATCACACCGCAAGATGGTTGTACGCCAGGGCTGCCGGATGAGGGCGCGACCTCCCGATCGTAATAGTTCTGGTAGGGCACCGGAGCTGTGGGCAGCAAGCCTGTGAGGCCCAGGGTGACCGAGGGCAGGGCAGGCGGGACCTGCACCACCTGATACCCGACTTGTCCCCATCCAGAGACCCAGACGGGGGCCCCACTTACCCACTCTGGCCCTAGCCTGCCTCGGTGCTTGGGGAGGGGGCCTCTCTCACTTTGATGAGACACACCCCACTGTGGGCACCACTGAGATCAAATATTCTGGGCTCATGATTTAGTGGAACCAAACCGGCTGTAAGAAGGCTCCCGCCTCTATTTCCCCTTCTGAGAGTTGTGTTCTTAAGCACTGTGCCATCTCTGCTTCAGAGGAGGCAGCAGGCCAGGGTCCTGACCAGGGGGTTGCCCCATCCCTGACCCCTCCTTGGGGTCTGGCCCAGGGTCCTTCACCCAGAAGGGAGCTGTGAGCCTTGTCCTGGCAGTTGAGGCTCAGAGAACTGGGGCCAGGCCTCTTAGGGACAGATGGGCCTGGCCCCAGAGGCTACCTGCAGGCCGGGCCTCACCCGGGGGCTCAGTGCCTGTGCTCTTGGCCTGGATAAAGCCATCGATGTCGGCTTCCACGCTGCAGCCTTCTAGCGTCACCCGCACCTCCTCGTAGAGCTGGCAGTGGGAAGAGCAGAGGCTGAGGGATCAGGCCTCACCTTGGGGCCTACCCTCTTCAAAGCCCTGCTCCTCAGTGGGTGTGAACTCTGGCCAGGGGCCTCCACCCCACCAGCCTCCTCACGGGCCCTGTGCGCACAGCTCAGTGCCTGCATTTGGGGGCCTTGGCGTGGAACTGAGAGGTCAGAACCCTGGCTGACAGATTCTTCTACTTCCTGAACACACAAGGTGTGCACAAGGTCCTATGCAAGGGACTTATCTCACTCCTGTCCTCTGAAGAAGACACCACTTTCCCCATTTTATAGATGAGGAAACTCAGAAAGGGGAAGAGATTTGCCCAAGGTTGCAGAGCAAGAATTCAGTGTAGCCAGGCTTTGCATTAATGAGAGGATCCAAAGCCCCCATTCCTTCCTCTGCCACAAGGAGACCACCAGTCCATGGTCCAGGCAGAAGGGTTCAGGCAAGTAACAACAGTGGGCATCAGGGAGTCTGGGCTGCCTCAAGAGAGCTCATGGCTCTCAGGCTCCACTAACAGAGGTCAGAGCCCCTCGTGTGGAAGTGGGGGCCCCTCTCTGCTGGGGGAACCCACCCCAACACTCCTGGCATGTAGAGTTCAGTAAGGGGAACCAGGACACCCCAGGGAGTTGGGGGGCAGAGGAGGGACTGGACCTTGGCTCTTACAAGCACCAGGCCTGGAGTAGAGCAGCCCAGTGTCCTCCAGCCTCTCTGCAAACCTCTGAGGGGCAGTGTCAAAGGGCAGAAGCTCCCTTCTGACCCCAACAGGAAGCAGGTGCTCTGTGGCCTTGAGAGCAGAGCCAAGGACCTGGGAGCAGGGGTGAGCAAAGAGGCAGATGCCAGGGTAACCACAACAGCAGTCTTCCAGGCAAGGAGACCAGGGCCTTGTACTGAGTCCCCTGTCCTTTGGGGCTCCAGGGGCAGAGGCTAAGCCCTGAGCTGTTTGTTGATGGACTCAGACGGACCTGGGCATGCTGTCGCCTGGAGTCTGCCCTATCTGCACACCTCCACCCCCAGCTCACTCTCTGCCCCGCCCTGTCCTTAGTCCCCCACCTCATCGTCCTTGACACACTGCAAGGAGAGCTGGTTACAGTGCACCCACAGCGCATTGCGAAGGATGGTCAATCGATCAAACTCTTGCAGCTGGAAAGCCTGCGAGGTGGAGATGGGATGGAGGTGAGAAGTGAGGAGAGGCTTGCAGGGTCAGGCCAGACTGGGCCCCACTCAGCTACCGTGGCACTGACTAGCCACACGCCCCCCCACTGCTGAAAGCCAAGTCCAAAGGAAATGCCCTTCTTGGAGGATCCCCACACCCACCTTTGTGCCAGCCCCTGAGGCTTCTGGTTCCTGCCCTCACCCTTCCTCCAGTCTCCATCACATGCTAGAAAAAAAGCCCTTGGGCATTGTTGTGAGAGGAGAACTGGACCCGGAGTCCTAAGGCCTATCTCCCAGGTCTTGTCCACCAGCAGGACCCAGGGAAGCTATGGGCTTTTTCTGAGCCTCAGGGCCGGCTTCAGCAAAAAGGGGTGAAGGATGCCTTACTCCCCATCAGGGCATAATGCCAGATGGGGAGCTCCCTGGGACAGGGGCCCAGCACAGGGCCTGGGGAGAGAGCAGATGGGTGAATGAATAAAGGAATGAGGCCTTCCTCCCACTACTGCCTCACTTTCCCCCATGAAGCAGCTGGAGGGATGGACAGCCTTCTCATTTTGCAGCAGGAGAAGCAGGCCTCATGCCCACAGTCACTCACCTCACAAGTGGTCCGGTGCTCCTGCTCCCACTCACCCCGCACCTTCTCCAACTGCTCGATGTTCTGCCTGTACACTCGCTCTGGAAGCACAGGTGGTCCTCAGAGAGGTCAAGGCCTAGACACCCACCCCCAACCTCCACCCCTTTGCTCCCTCAGTGCCCCTGCACAGAGTGCCCTCCTGCCCCAAGTCCTCGGAGTCCCTCCTCCTGCCTCAGAGAGACCTGCCCTGGCTTCTGGTGCCTCATCCAAAAGCCTGTCAGCCTTACTCTGGTACTGCTCTTTTTGGAGGTGACTCTTAGCTCCCTGCTGTGCTCTGAGCTGCCCAGGGTTGCAGTAGAGCCCACACCTCAAGATCAGAGTCTAAACCTTTGCCACCCCCAGGTCCTACCCTCTCACAATTTCTAGATGGGAAACTGAGGCTTGGAAAGGGCAGCATTGAAGGCGGGGGGGTGGGGGTGGAGCAGGGGAGCTGTTGAGTTGGAACCCAGCAGGCTGGGTTCCATGACCTCCGTTCCCAGAAATCTGAGGGACACCTATCTGCCAGCCAAGGCAGCAGCTGGGTTCTGGGAGAAGCAGAGAAAAAGGGAGAACATTTTCAGGGGGCATTTCAGGGGTGAGCTCTCTGCCCTAGGAGGTGTACCAACAGAGATGAAGTGTGTTGGGAAGGTTCTGGCATCAGATGAAGGATAGAGGAGACAGAAACCCAGAGAAGGCTGTGTGTGTGTGTGTGTGTGTGTGTGTGTATGTGTATAAGAGAGAAATGATGAACAGGTCTGTCTCCCATGATGCTCACCACACTTGAGAGAAGAGTGGATAAACTCAGAACTTAAAGAGATAGAAGATATTAAAAAAAGAACCAAACAGAGCTGAAGAATGTAATAACTAAATGAAAAATACACTAGAGGCAATCCACAGCAGATTAGGGGATGCAAAAGTACAGATAAGGTAGTAGAAAATATCCAAGTGGAACATCAAAAAATTAGTTTTTATTTTTATTTATTTTTAATTTTTTTATGTTTATTCATTTTTGAGAGACAGAGACAGAGCATGAGTGGGGGAGGGGCAGAGAGAGAAGGAGACATAGAATGTGAAGCAGGCTCCAGGCTCTGAGCTGTCAGCACAGAGCATGACACGGGGCTTGAACTCATGAACCGTGAGATCATGACCTGAGCCTAAGTCGGACACTTAACCAACTGAGCCACCCAGACACCCCAAGAAAATAACTTTTTAAATGAGGATAGGTTATGGGGCATCTGGGTGGCTCGGTCAGTTGAGCGTCTGACTCTTGATTTTGGCTCAGGTCATGATCTCACAGTTCATGAGATCGAGCCCCACATCAGGCTCTGTGCTGACAGCAAGGAGCCTGCTTGGGATTCTCTCTCCCCCTCTCTCTCTGTCCTTCCCTTGTTTGTGCTCTCTCTCTCTCTTTCTCTCTCTCTCTCAAAATAAATAAATATACATGAGCAAAAAAAATTTTTAAATGAGGACAGGTTAGGGGACATCTGGAACATCAGGTGTCCTATATTTGCATTTTAGGGGTCCCAGAAGGAAAAGAGAGAAGGAAACAGAAAACTTATTTGAAGAAATAATAGCTGAAAACAACCCTACCATGGGGAAGGAAACAGACATCCAGGTCCAGGAAGCACAGAGAGCCTCAAACAAGACAAACCCAAGGAGGCCCACACCAAAACACATAATCATTACAATGTCAAAAATTAAAGCTAGAGAATCTTAAAAGCAGCAGGAGAAAAACAACTAGTTATATATACACGAAAAACCACAAAGTTATCAGCTGACTTTTTAGCAGAAATTTTGCAGGCTAGAAGGGAGTGATAAAATGCTGACAGAAAAACAAAAAAAAAACCCCTAAAACCAAGAATACTCTACCTGACAAGCAGTATAATCAATTATATCTACAAAAATTGGTCAAGAAATATACAAAATAAAAAAGATGTAAAATATGACATCATACATATGAAATGTAGAGGAGGGAGTAAAAATGTAGTGCTTTTAGAACGTGTTGGAACTTAAGTGACCATCAATGTAAAATAAATTACTCTATTCGTAGAATGTTATACATGAACCTCATAATAATCATAAACCCAAACCTATAATATTAACAAAAAGAGAAAAGAACCCAGTCATCAAACCACAAGGGAAGAGAGCAAAACTACAAACACATCCAGGAAACAGTTAATAAAATGCCAATAAATGCATGCCTGTCAATAATTACTTTAAATATAAATGGACTAAATGCTCCAGTCAAAAGACATAGGGTGACTGAATGGATAAAAAAACAAGACCCAGCTATATGCTGCCTAGAAGAGATTCATTTCAGACTTAAAGACACACACAGGTTGAAAGTGAAAGGATAGAAAAAGATTCCATGCAAATGGAAGCAAAAACAAAATAAACAAAAACACAACTGGGGTAGAAATACTCCTATGAGGCAAAATAGACTTTTTAAAAAGATGGTAACAAGAGACAAAGAAGGGCATTATACAATGATAAAGGGATCAGTCCAACAAGAGGATGTAACAATTGTAAATAGCCACACACCCAATACAGAGACACCTAAATGTAAAAAGCAAATAATAACAAACACAAAGGGAGAAGTACAATAATATTAGGACACTAACACTCCACTTACATCATGGGTAAATCATCCAGACAGAAAATCAATAAGGAAATGATGGCTTTGAATGATACTTTAGGCCAAATGAACTTAGATATGTGCAGAAGATTCCATCCCAAACCAGCAGAATACACATTCTTTTCAAGTGCACATGGAACATTCTCCAGGATAGATAGATCACATGTTAGGCCACAAAACAAGTCTTAGTAAATTTAAGAATATTGAAATACTATCAAGCATCTTTTCTGATCACAACAGTATGAAACTTGGAATCAATTACAAGGAAAAAATACAAACACATAGAGGCTAAACAACCAATGGGTCAATGAAGAATTCAAAAAGGAAATTAAAAAAAATACCTGGAGATGAATAAAAATGGAAACAACATTTCAGAATCTTTGAGAGATGGCAGAAGCAATTCTAAGAGGGCAATTTATACCAATACAGGCCTACCTCAAGAAATAAGAAAAACCTCAAATAAACAATTTAATCTTACATCTAAAGGAACTAGAAAAAGAGCAAACAAAGCCAAAAGTTAGTTGAAGGAAGGAAATAATAAAGATGAGAGTGAAAATAAATGAAATAGAGACTTAAAAAAATCAGAAAAGTCAATAAAACTAAGAGCTGTTACTTTGAAAAGGTAAACAAAATTCATAGACCTTTATCCAGACTCATCAAGAAAGAAAGAAAGAGAAATCAAAAAATAAAATCAGAAATGAATGCGGAGAAGTTACAACTGACACCAGAGAAATACAAAGGATTGTAAGAGACTACTAGAAAAAAACAGATGCAGAAAAGCCATTTGAAAAAATTCAACATCCAGTCATGATAAAAACTCTCAACAAGTGGGTTTAGAGGGAACATACTTCACCATAATAACCCACAGCTAACACCACAGTCAATGGTAAAAAGTTGAAAGCTTTTCCTCTAAGATCAGGAACACAACAAGGATGCCCATTTTTATTCAGCATAATATTGGAAGTCCTAGCCACAACAATGAGAAAGGAAAAAGAAATACCCAAAATGATATGGAAGCAGTAAAACTGTCACTGTTTGCAGATGACATGATAGTATACATAGAAAACCCTAAAGCTTTCACCAAAAAACTATTAGAACTAGTAAATGAACTTAGTAAAGTTGCAGAATACAAAATTAATACACAGAAATCTGTTGTGCCTCCATATACCAATAATGAAGTAGTGGAAAGAGAAATTAAGAAAATAATCCCATTTATAATTGCACCAAAAAGAATAAAGTACCTAAAAATAAATTTAATCAAGGAAATGAGAGACCTGTACTCTGAAAACTAAGGCATTAATGAAAGAAATTAAAGACGACACAAATAAATAAATGGAAAGATAGTCCATGTTCACGGATTATAAGAATTAATATTATTAAAATGTCACACTACCCAAAGAAATCTACAGATTCAATACAAACCCTGTCAAAACACCAACATTTTTCACAGAACCAGAAAAAATCCTAAAATTTGTATGGAACCACAAAAGACCCCAAACACCAAAGCAATCTTGAGAAAAAAGAACAAAGCTGGAGGTATCACAATCCAGACTTCAAACTATACCACAAAGCTATAGTAATCAAAACAGTATGGGACTGGCACATAAACAGACCCATAGGTCAATGGAACAGAATAGAGAGCCCAGAAATTAACTCATGCGTATATGGTCAACTAATCTATGACAAAGGAGGTAAGAATATACAATGGGGAAAAGACAGTCTCTTCAACAAATGGCATTGGGAAAACTAGACAGCTACATGCAAAAGAATGAAACTGGATTACTTCCTTATACCATACAAAAAAATAAACTCAAAATGGGTTAAAGGCCTAAATGTAAGACCTGAAACTATAAAAGTCCTGAAAGAAAACATAGGCAATAAACTCTTGGACGTCAGCCTTAAGAGTACTTTTCTGGATCTGCTTCTTCAGGCAAGGGAAACAAAAGCGAAAATCAACAATTGGAACTATATCAAACTAAAAGCTTTTGCACAGCTAAAGGAAACAATCAACAAAATGAAAAGACAACCAAATGAATGGGAGAAGATAAGGGGGTGATACCCAAAATACATAAAGGACTCATACAACTCAACATAAAAAAAAAATCTGATTTAAAAATAGGCAGAGGCCTGAATAGACATTTTTTCCAAAAATGACATACAGACGACCAAAAGACACTTGAAAAGATGCACAAATCATTAATCATCAGGGAAATGCAGATCGAAACCACAATGATATATCACCCCATACCACTCAGAATGGCTAGTATAAAAACAACAACAACAACAACAACAACAACAAGTGTTGGCAAGGATGCAGATAAAGGGAACCTACTTGCACTGTTGGTGGGAAGGCAAACTGGTGCAGCCACTCTGGAAAACAGTATGGAGCTGCCTCAAAAATTAAAAATGGAAATACCAATTCAGTAATTCTACCTCTGGGTATTTACCTGAAGAAACTGAAAACACGAATTTAAAAAGATATATGCATCCCTGTGTTTACTGCAACATTATTTACAAGAGTCAAGATGTGGAAGCAACCTAAGTGTCCATTGATAGATGGATGGATAAAGAAGATGTACAATGGAATATTACTCAGCCATAAAAAGGAATGAAATCTTGCCACTCATGACAACACGGATGAACTTAGAGGGTTATGATGCCAAGTGAAATAAGTCAGACGGAGAAAAACAGATGCCATATGAATTCACTTTATGTGCGGAACTTAAAAAACAAAACAAACAGCAACAACAAAAAACAGATATAGAGTCATAAAAATAGAGAACTGGTGGTTGCCAGAGGGCAGGGGGTTGGGGGATGCAAAATAGGCGAAGGGGATTAAGAGGTGTAAACTTCCATTCATAAAAGAAATAAGTCACAGGGATGAAAAGTACAGCAGAGGGAAGAGAGTCAATAATAGTGTAATGACACTGGTGACAGACGGTAACACTTATCATGGTGAGCACTGCACAATGTTTATAATTGTCGATTCACTACGTTGTACACCTGAAATTGATATGATATTGTAGGTCAACTATACTTCAATTGAAAATCTAAAAATTTAAAAGAGATATAATTAGAGGTGCCTGGGTGGCTCAGTCAGCTAAGTGTCTGACTTCGGCTCAGGTCATGATCTCATGGTTTGTGAGTTCGAGACCCACGTTGGGCTCTGCGCTGACAGCTCAGAGCCTAGAGCCTGCTTCAGATTCTGCGTCTCCCTCTCTCTCTGCCCCTCCCCTGCTCACACTCTGTCTCTGTCAAAAATAACATAAATAAATAACATAAATAAATAAATGAATGGGGGACGATTATAGCAGTCATCTCATAGGACTGCTGTGTTGTGCAGACTGGTTGAAACATGCAAAGTACCAAGAACAGTCTTGGCAAACGGGAGAACACCAATGTTTTTATTTTACTTGCGTGATCGTGTGAGACTGGTAAGCATATGACTCTGTACAGTCCTGCATGAATGTGTGTCCCCGGGGTGAGGAAAGTGTGGGGTGGGGCAAGGGACAGGCCTGTCTGGGCTGCCATCCCAGGGCAGAGGAAGTGGGCCAGGCCGCGTACCTGCCTCCGTGGCTGAGTCCTTGCACTGCTTGGCTTTGTTCTGGCTCTGAGGAGACAGAGGAAAAGCAGTGCTGAGCTGGCCCCAGCGCTCGGGCTCCCAGCCTTCCTGGGGGGCTCTGAGGTGCTTCTATCCCACCCTTCCTGAGCCACCCAGGGGGACACTTAGGAGCCAACTGTGGGCAAGTTCTACCATTTACTCCAGCCTCACCCCACAAAGGACCACAATCAAAAAGCGTCCAATTAAAAAAATAAAAATAAATGCATAACCCGTGCAGATACATGTGAAAACTGGATATGAAGATCAGAGGGAGAAATATGGACTGGGGCCAGGTCCCATGGCCCTGGCCACCTCTGAACCCACCAGCTGGGACGTGGGCCCTGCCCTTACCTTGTTGCCCCTAATTCACCCACAGTTCTCTGCCCTTTGTGGGCCTCAGCTTTCCTGTCTGTGCAATGGCTGAAATATGTTCTTGGGCCCTGGTGCCTCTGATGCCTCACCCTGGCCCAGGGGCCAAAACAGTCAAGATCTTGGGCTCTGGATGACCTGGGTGTGTATCCTTTCTTTATTCTTTCTTGGATCTGACACCTTGGACAAGCCACCCACTGTCTCTGGGCCTCGGTTTCCTCTCTGTGGCATGGGTCTCCTGAGCCTGTCTCCAAGGGTTATGTGAGAG